TATGGATTTTTCTCTGAAGTGTCGCGTTCAAGCAAGTAGTTTTTTTTTAAAGGTATATTATTTGAAATGGTTGCAATGTAGTTTGAATTCACTAGATGGCGCACTCCAACTCAAGTTATATTTCATATTCATTTCACCAACCCGACGTTGAAAATAGCACCATAAGAGTCCAATTCCGTAATGTAATCAAATATGTATGCATAAATCTTTGCTGTAATAAGTGCCTCGTTGCAAATTCGTTTCCCACTTGTTACGAATTATTTATTTCAATAATCAGAATGTGAATTGCATGCCTACATCTTGTTAAGTAGGGCAAGCTAATTTTGTTGTTGTACCTCGCCAAAACGTATGTATGCATTCGCGTTTTGACTTATTATCGAGATTCAATAATTCGTGGCAAGTGAATGACAGAATGTGGAACGAGGCACTTAACAAAGGCGTATGCATTGAATTTGATTACATTTATGGTCTAGTTCGATGCAGGCACGCAAGCATGATAGCGAGGTTGGGGTGATGCCATATGTCATAATTATAAATGTAAGGACGTATGGATTCTCCTAACCTTTTCGGCACTACCAACAAATTTAGGAACCTCATTTTCTTCTTCTTAACATCTTCTTCTTCTTCCTTCTCTTCTTCTCTTTCTTCTCCTGCTTCTTCTCTTTCTTCTTCTTCTTCCTCGTCTTTTCTTCTTCCTATATCCTGCGTCTTTTATTTGGTAGGGGTGGGTTAAGAGATTGTATGTAAACTCTGTCTGCAAAATTAAAAGTGTGACGACTTTTTTTTTCATTAATTTTTTGGCCGACTTGTGAACGTACCTCTCGAATCCCCCCTCCCCCCATCCCCATTTGAATTTTTACTAGCTAGAACCCTGATCATTCTTGATCTTGAACTTCAATCTTGAAATAGTAATCCCTTTAAAACGCTCGTCTCGGGATGATGATAATGATGTGCATGGGGTAATTGTTCATTGCTTATTGTGGTCTGAATTCTGTTGAATTGAACAATCATTTGGCGTAGAGTGGATGTAGTCGAGTGGTTCCCAAAATCTCCGGCTCGTAACAAAAGAAAAAGGTCTACCCGTACTGACTTTACACGCCTGACTTATGCTGAAAGGGGGGATGCTGAAAAGGCTCGTATAACAAAAGAAAAAGGTTTACCCGTATCGAATTTACACACCGGACTTATGCTGAAAGGGGGGAGGGGGTGCTGGGAACACGCATATGCCTACCCTAAATAACACTGAGTGGGGGGGGGGGGGGGGTTAAACACTCGAATAGATATGATAAGTTCGAGGCTTCGATCGCCGGCACGGCTTTTATGTCCTTATAAGCGAGATATTATATTTGCATTTCATCTCTCCACGCAGGTGTTAAATTGGAAGGCCTACCCGGTAGGATGCGAAAGTTTTTATAGTTTGTTTAGCATTATGAGCATCTGAATATTGGCGCCTGGCTGCAATGTTCACCAGGAAAGGAATAATGAGCATACATTTTGTACAGGCAAGCGTGAATCCGACGATCAGGTAATACTCTGTAAAGTGCTTAAAGTCGTCGTCGTTGTATCAAGCGTTACACGTGTATGTCGACCTCTGCAGGGCCAGGCGCGTAGCCAGGGGGTCGGCGGTCGGGGCCGGGTCGGGGCGGTCGCGGGAGGGAGAAAACTGAATTCAAACAAGGATTAAGAGTCGAGAACGGTACAACGAATCATCTTCTTTCTCTAATTAGTTAATGAAACATCAAAGCTTCCGCACTTCGAGCGGGGGGGGGGGGGATGAATTCAGACAAGGATTAAGAGTCGAGAACGATACAACGAATCGTCTTCTTTCTCAGATAATTTAATGAAACGTTAAACCTCCCCCCTCCCTGCTCATCACCGGCCCCTTAAAATAAATTCCTAGCGACGCGCTTGCACGGGGCCTCAATTTAACATCCTATCTCAGGGACGAAGTGTGTTCCACTGTAACATAGCCTTTGAGCTAAAGGGGAACTTTAATACACAACACAGGCTTCAGGTGTTCCCATTATGGTTAGATCTGAACCTCACGCAAGGCAGACCGCAGACGCTCTACCGACTGAGCTATGATCATCTTCTGGATCGCATCCAGGATAATATCACACTAGCCTTTTGAAAGGGCCTCGTGACTCTGGCTATTTCCGCCCCAATCAGCGGCTGAGATGAGTCTAGCCGGCGACGAAGAGAGATCTAGAGACCCGGTGTGAACGCGCGATTTATTTATTTATTTATTTATTTCACTTCTTTATTCAGGGTAGTCTGTTCAGTATACACAAAATAAAAACCTGGTCTTCCACAGAGCCCTGATTATAAAAACAGCACATGAAAAAATACATGAATTACAATTAGAACTGTACAATATAGGTTTATTAAACATTTAACACAATGTATTCATGGTTTAGATAATAATAAAAATCAACTACAAAATAAGTTAAACAAAAACATGGGAATACATTAACTGAGTATAAGATTACACAAACGAAAAACAGTTAATTAATGATAATTGTAGGCATTGTATGATAATGGAGTCAAGTAACATGACAAAACTGAATCATAATAAATAATGATAAAATCAACAATGAAAAAACATGGAAATACATTAACTGAATATAATATTACACAAAAGAACAACTGTTCATTGATGATAATTGTAAGCATTGTATGGTAATTGAGTCAAGCAACATGACAAAAACTGAATCATAATATATAATGATAAAATCAACTATGAAAATAAGTTAAACAAAAACATGGGAATACATTAACTAAATATAATATTACACAAAAAACAACAGTTCATTGATGATAATTGTAAGCATTGTATGGTAATGGAGTCAAGTAACATGACTAAAACTGAATAGATAATGATAAAATCAACTATCATATGGCTCCGTTTAGTCTCATTTCACAACGCCCCCTATCGTCAGAGCATGATCTGAGTCGGCAGCCTAACATGTTAGCCTATGGACGTTTTTTTTTAAAATCGTTAAAAATTCATTTTTTGTTTAAACGAAAAGCACATCCACCCCGACGTACGTTATCACTAGCTCTTTCATTGGAGCCCTCATGTCTCATTGACTTTTGAAAGTTCACCCACCGTAATTTTTCAAAATAGGTTGCAAGCTCGTCATTGCCTATAATACACATGTGAAACAAGTCTAACTTTGGACTCGGTTTACCAAGCGATTTGAAGATTATAGGTCGAGCACACGAAACATAAAAAGCATGAATTATCAGAGATCACTTCTGCCTATTTCATTTTGTCCATTTCATCCAACCCCCCACCGTAATTTTTCTATTTAGTAAAAGCAAACATTTTGCCGAGTTTAGCAAAACATGAATATTCATGAACGGTCAGACAATACAGCCTTTTAGTACGTAACGTATAGTGAATGGGAATGGGCGATGATCCGTTCAGGAGGTAGAGGTCAGTGGTTTGTGCTGGCAATGTTCACGCGAGCGAAAATGAGACAATCGGAGCAATATGGAAAAATAAATTAAACATTGTATGGTAATGGAGTAAAGTAACATTTCAAAAACTGAATAGATAATGATAAAATCAACTATGAAAATAAATTAAACCAAAACATAGGAATACATTAACTTAATATAATATTGCACAAAAGAACAACAGTTAATTAATAATAATTGTAAATATTGTAAGATCGAGTGGCGTTAGCCATGAGGCCTTTTGGATTCTGGCTTTTACTGCTCTGCATGAATAATTATTCATAACGTTGAATTCATTGACCATTCAGAACGGCCATCTCCCAGTTGGCTTCGTTCGTGATTCGTCCATTATCAAAACATGTAAGCAAAGGTAAAGACGTTTTGCTGATGAGATGAACGTATCAATAAAAAATACAAAATATCACATCCAAATCTATTTTACAGGCAAAATTACAATTATAATGATGATTATACATTTCATGTATAATGTTCTTTTTTCTTATAATGTGTACCATTTTACAATTCATTTTTACAATTCATTTTACAATTCATTTGCTATTTTAGGCGTTTTTTTGTGTCCATGTTGCATACGAGAATTTTAACAGGGAAGGAATGAATCATTTATGACTTCTAGCGTTCGGTGTTTGTAAACGTTCAGGTGGTGCAAACATGTGGTGGAAATAGGTGCACACTCTGCTATTTATTGGCTCGTTACTTCTCTTCGTTTTAGTGTATTTCTTCTTTTTGTTTTCCCCTTTTTCTGTATTGTACTTTATTGAACTCCAAACAATTATTTGTCAAATTACTGCCGTCTTAATTTTAATTGTGTACTTCTCTTTACGGTAAACATTTTCTGTCCCTGACTTTTTTTAAGTCTCCCAGGAACCTATTTTTTACAAGCTCTGCTTTTTTATAGGTTCCTGCACATTTCACAGTTTGTACTTTTGTCTGGCTTTCTTTTAAATGATATTAGTTGTCAAACAATTGTGATGACATGTAACTTTGTAGTCTGATTACCTTGTTAATTACAAAAATCTTTTTTTTTAATTATGAAACAATATGTATTTTATGTATATTTCGTTATCTGTATTATATTTGTGAAACATATGTGAAATGTGAAACCAATAAACTCAAACTCAAACTCAAACAATAATACAGGAAGCTAACAACTGTACGTGAGATTATTGGACTTTCCCTGTATATAAAATGAACCAGTCTAACTCGTTTTCGTTCTATGTAGAGGTCAGTGGTTTATAGTCCTTACGTCTTTCGTACTACGTAGAGTTTACTGTGTGCGTGATGGATAATATATGCTGACGTCACGCGATGGTAGGTTCGCCGATTGGACGCTACCATTTCGGTAGAGAAGTCCAGTCGGAAACACAGGTTAACATAAGAAATCCAAACAGATTACTAAAGGCTTTTTTGGCTGACGTCACTCGCTCTGGCGTTCACTCGGTTTTTCGCGATTAGTCTTTTTTTAGTCGCTCGGCGTCAGATATCATTATTAGACACGAGGTCTTGTCTAAAGGCTAATATCACACGGGATCTTTGCCTGAAATTGTTTTGATGTACCTTGACTTTACTAACGTATAAAACACCGGTGCGAGTCCTTTTCGCTTTGATGGTGAAAGACAAAACAAGTCGAGCAATTCGTTACGAAATTTCTTGTTTCTAACGGAATAGATGAACGGATTTGAACATGAATTGACAAAAGCAAGGCAGACGAAAACCCGGTAATGATCCGAGTACATGTAGGAAGGGAGGAGTTCGAGGTTGAAGAGAAGGAAACAGATTTGGTCTGGCGACCAGCACACGATGAAGAATATGACGACAATAAGCACAGTGCGTGTCATCCTTCGCATTGTCAGCGAAATTTGCTGTATGGGCTGATTTACGGTGCGTCCGTCGGTCTGAAAACTGCGCGCCTGTGCGCGAAGTGCCCGGATGATGGCAAGATGGCTACTGATCATGATGACGATTGGTATCAGGTATTTGAACATAAACAGCAGGACTCCGGCAGCCATTTGTACTTCATATCCAATGGATTCAGTACGGCAAACATGACTTTCGTCGTCGTATGTAGAAATGGCCAGAGTGTACACATTCAAAATGGCGGCTCCTAGCCATGATAGCCCAACAAGGCGAAGTGATCGCTTAACTGTGAAAATCAACTTAAATTTTAGCGGATGCTTGACAGCAACTAGCCGCTCCACTGATATCACAGTGAGTATGAACACTGAGGCCACCGCGGATATCCACATTAAACTATTCGAATACTCGATCCGGCAGTAAAGCATGCCTTTCCAGTTAGACGGTACCGAATCCATTTGGGGGCGGGGTATCATCCACAGGGACGTGAAGAAGTCGGATACGGCTAGGTTACCGATGAGGACATCGGTGGCGAACTGGGCGTGACTACGGCGGATGATCACGGCGATGACGAGAATGTTTCCGACGATGCCGATTATGGAAAACGCAAGTTGAACTATGACCCACCATGTCCATGTAAAGGGGACCCAGCCCCACTCGATATCAACAGAAACGTTCGTGTTATTCATTGCTGCTCTTGCACAGCTTATGTCCTGCAAAGAACAATGAATGAAAAATATTGTAGTGTCCAGATAGGCCAGTCTGTATAAAAGCTATGAAATTAATGCAAGTTTTATAACGCAGTCGAAATGACGCCTCAGGTGCAACGCGCCATAGATCAACGCCAGAACTATTGAATCTGCTGATACTCGCATACATTCTATGAGTAATTAGTAAAAACCCATTAACCGCTGCTAATTATACGTATGTTTAAATAAATAAATGCTACGCTAATTGAATTACGACCCCTTTAATCCGTCACCCTACGTGCAAGATACATAATGCAGGTGCGGATTCTCCCATTTTCATAAAGGTACTCTTTTACTAGAATTTGAAAGAGGGGCATTTTTCTCTTATGTAGGCCTGCTTTAGATATTACTCCCTGGTCTTAAAAAACCTCGCCCCCCCCCCCCCCCCCCCTCATCCAGTTGGCTAGACATGTAGGCTAATGTTGTGGACATTTAATTTAAACGTTGATATTGACAATTGACAGTATGCTGGAAATCAAATATTTACCTCGTTAATTCCATCACGGTATAAAATATTTCCACATTGATGGCAATCATGATTGGGTTAAGATCAATTCAATGAGCAACACTCTGTCATCGGGGGGAAAGTACGATACAGAATAAAACATGGCAATTTACAAATTTAGATTTCTGCAATTTCCTTACTAATATAGGCTTACAGTTGAAAAAAACATTATTCATACCAAGTTTAGTAATTAAAGCAGGTGAAAAATTTGATTTGTCCCGATTTATGTTTCTCGAGAATTTGATATATATAAAAGCTTATTACATTTAGAAGTTTTCAACAATGGCCCTAATTCAAACGGCCCACCTGTTACTCCTGAGTTACATTAAAAAACACCCCCAAAACATAAAAATTGTGTTTTTCGTAAGTTAGGAATGAAAGGTGGACTGTTTGAATTAGGGCCTAATGTTTTGGGGTGTTTTTTCGGAACCCAGGCTGTTTGAATTAGAGCCATTGTTCAATAGCACTATAAGTATGTTGAAATATCGATATTTACTTTTACTTCGTGAGGATAATTTGTTTATATACTCACTCAAATACAAGCGTCGTTTGACATAATTAAGGAAGACTATAAACATCAGATGCTATCTCACTTTAAACATTGTCGTGCATTTCTTACAAGTTATTCATATCGCTTGGGGCATGTATCATCCCAACTTTGCTCTATATAGCATGCACCACATCAATTTATATATTGAAATTAATAATGATCTGGTTAGTATTTCCATTAATCTCATTTTCTTCATGCATGTTTTTTTGAAAGACAGAGTTAAAGATGAAGTTGAGTTCTGGTCATGCGATTGCATTGTGAAAAAAACGGTGTGGAATCGACCAGAAATGGTTGATCATCTAGCATATAAGTATTGGTGTGTACTCCAAGGTTCTGGAATCATCAAAATGATAAGAAATTTGGTCCAGTCTTGGTAAAGTGACAAGCACTGTACACAGAAAGATGTATATGGGACTACGCGACACGTTCGTTATATCTATCAGGTCCACATAGATATAATATTTTACCAAATATATCAATTAGTAGGCGGTTTCTCGGCAAAATTTGTATCATTACGTATTAGTCAAAAGCATATTCTTTCACATGATTGGTAATAAAAGCTTCCATTTCATTTTTTGAGAGGGGGGGGGGGGCGTTTCCAAAACTGGTCTTTACCTTTAACATTGTATTATAATGTCGGAAAGCATCACGATGTGATGCCCCATGTTACACAGGTATGAGGGAGGGGTGGGATATGATGCTAGCGCTAACCCTTTACCATATAGGTATATATAGCTGATATCGACTCAAGCATTCATGCTTATTATAGTTGGCCTCTGCATTTATCTTGAATTTTTACTTACCTCCATACTTTTAAGTTTTCAATTATATATATATATATATATATATATATATATATATATATATAAGCATTTTTATATGTGTGTATTTAAGTTGTCACTTTTTATGTAAATCAATTATATTATATACTATTATTGTTATTTGAATGTTTTATATTTGATTTATCAATAAATGCAGAAAAATCTGCTTTAAAAAAATATATATATATACTGACATAAGAAATTTATAAAACCAAATATAAATCGATTCTAATCTCTATACCATTATCCTTACCTTGTTTCATACACTGATAAGTCCATATACCAACGATGTGGTCAAAACGAAAACTATTCTCCTCTCCTTCAACGTTCCTCTTTCGCAATAATTACGGATCGCATTAAGGCAGTTTCATAGACATCCAAAATGGGTATTGAGCGATTTGAGCCCTTTTTTTTATGGTTCAAAGTGACAGCTGCCCACAAAAGTCTGAAAATTGGCAAAAGTATTCACATCTCATGTCGGCGTGTTCCTTGTTGGCTTGAACTTGGAGGATTGTTGATGATCATGTAATTCTATCTGTTTTGTCACATGACATGTGGATTGAGATGGACATAATTCCTCTATATAGATGGCCGCTCCGTGGTGAAGTGCTTTCGAATGTTTACTTGTTCTGTTCCTCTTCTGTCTCATCTATCTTTTGGCTGACGTTGGAGGACAGAATTACTAATCAATGATTACCAACTCGTCTCTCTGCTTGACATGATTAAACTTGGCTAGTCTGTGGAGCTTTTTGCAAACAAGTCGAGGAGGAATTGATTACCTCATAGCATCTTTATATACCCCCCCCCCCCCCCCTCCATATCCCTCACCTCTCTCTCTCTCTCTCTCTCTCTCCTCCCCCTCTTTCTCTTTCTCCCTCTCTCTCTCTCTCTCTCTCTCTCTCTCTCCTCTCTCTCCCTCTCTCTCTCACTCTCTCTCCCTCTCTTTCCCTCTCCCTTTCTCTCTCTCTTCCCTCTCTTTCTCTCTCTCCCTCTTCCCCTCTCTCTCTCCCTTTCTTTCTCTTTCTCTCTCTCTCCCTCCCTCTCTTTCTCAGGCTCTCCCTCCCCTCTCTCTCTCTCTCCCTCTCTTTCTCTCTTTCTCTCTTTCTCTCTCTCTCTCTCTTTCTCTCTCTCCCCTCTCTCTCTCCCCTCTCTCTCTCCCTCTCTTTCTGTCTCTCACACACACACACATGTACACTCAATTTCAATTCAATTCAATGAACATATATTTCTTTCACAAAATATGTGCGTGTGTTTGTGTGTGTGTGTGTGTGTAACGACTGTAAGATGAATATGTTCTACGAATCATATTGTACCAAAAACTATTTTCTTTTTAATACTACAATGTAGAGAATAAATGGCATATCTTAATAGACTCATTTTAAAAAAAGTTCCAGCGTGTGGGAACAGCAAAACGAATATTTTTATTGAAACGAGACGATTCTTTGTCTGGGAATATAAACGTTTCTTGCAGCCTGTGTGGGATATATCAAGCAAAAAAGTGTTGCAACAATGTTCGAGAAAAAGATTTAATATACACTGTTCCGGTTAACAACTAAATTATTCATACCCCTTGTAAATGTAATGTGTTTTTATTGTGTGTTTCGTAACTCAAGAATAAAAGGTGGGCTTTTAATATATATAACCTTCTATATACCACGTTCTCGAGAAACCTGAATCGGGACAAATCATTTTTTCTCATACTTTAAAAATGACAAAAACTTAAAGGTTATGAATAATTTAGTTGTTAACTATATGATATGAAAACTTACTTATAGGTATGCGACAGTTTCTTCTCATCTTTTGATCAGCTTCAATGAAAGAATTAACCGGTTAGTATGGGTTTTAGACGGCACATTGCAGACAATTCTTTATATATGTGAAAATGTATTGCCCCACACAAGAGTGCATTACAATAGATAGGGGAGAACTAGAGAGCAATTATAAACTTCGAAGGACATTTTGAGAAAACATAATAATGGAATATATAAACTTCGAAGGACATTTTGAGAAACATAATAACGGAATCTATGAATGATACATATAAACTTCGAAGAACATTTTGAGAAAACATAATAATAACGGAATCTATGAATGATACATATAAACTTCGAAGGACATATTGAGGAAACATAATAATAACGGAGTCTGTGAATGATACATATAATTTTGGCAAATTTATTTTCAACTTAATGAATGTGTACTTTTCAAGAAAATCGGCTGTCAATACAAGCGCCTAAGAATCTGAATTGTGGAATTTCTAATTTCACAATACTATGTAGAGAAATCTTTTCATACACTCATGGAACTTCATCTGTATTGATGGTACACAGTCATGTTTGAAAGTTCTTTTTTTTTTATCTCGATACAAAATCTTTATCTTGGAATTTTCAGCCGTTCAGCGATTTCGGGGGTAAAGATTTTGTATTGAGATCAAAAACTTTCAAACAAATATTTTTCATATGAGACAGAGACGCTACGGTATTTATTCAGAGAATTTCACCCTTTCTTCAGTATTAAAAGCTGAGAAATTAAACTGTAAGTGAATAGCAATATAACAGAATTATTTTAACAAATAGGGACACGCACGTTTAAATTCTGCTACTGCTTCTTTTAAAGGAATTGAAAAAAATCAATTGGATTGCAAATCAAATATTTGATGAAAGGCCAAGCTTGTAAGTGCAAATGAAATTGCCAGTTGAAATCAATAATCAGCAATATGGTCGCCATTTCATATTGATTTACAAGGCGAGCGGTAAAATGCTTTTTGTCCGAAGAAAAGCAAACTGAATTCAGAACGTATTGATTTTATAACTGAATATTAAAGCCACACTGCACTACTTATAGCTACTTGCGCCCTCTTTGTAGCAAACAATGCCTAATCGGTGCCTGTTGGTCCCCATGATCCCCTTTTTCTTATGTTATTTGAGAGCTGATTTGATGAGATAACCACCTGTCAGTGACCTTGCCGGGAGGTCTAATCTCCCCTGGCCAAACAAGTGTAGACGGGATTTAAAGGCCATAAATAAAATTGAAGTAATTTTTTTGGAAAAAAAGTTATGCTAAT